TTATCTTGGGACCAGGCTCCAGGACAAGCTTAGGAGGTGAAAAGCTTATGGGTGCTCATGCTCCTCTCTCTTCGTTGGTTGTGCAGCCAAGTGGGAGAGAACAGTGGGTCAAGTTTTCTAACCTTTGATTCATGTTTTAGATGTTTCCAAAGCACAGAGAAACAGCATTTCACAATCCAAAGACGGAATGTTTCACCATCCGAAGAATGAATGTCTTGGCCCTAATGGTGTGTAAAACCTACTGGTTGCAAAAGCCTCATCCAGAATATTAGGCATCTAGTTCCAGAACATCCTAGTCCAAACTCCGAAATCCAATATCCCAACTTCTTAAAAAAGCTACTTCAGTTTTTTGTTTTTGTTTTTGTTTTTGATTTTTAACTTTTTAGTTGTGTTGACTTAAGTTGCAGTATAATGAAATTTAACAGAAGGGATATTTCTATCACATTTCATTCAGTCTCTGTTTCACATTCTCTCTAATAGGAATCCCCCCCTCCCCCAAATTTAGATTCCCATAAGATGAGGATGCTACAAAAGTGCTATGAATCATGAACATTTAAAAAAAATTTGCTCTTTTGAGCCAAAGCCGGCTTGGCTCAGTGGTAGAGAGTCAGTCTGCAGACTGAAAGGTCCCAGGTTTGATTCCGGTCAAAGACATGTACATTGGTTGTGGGCACATCCCAGTAGGAGGTGTGCAAGAGGCAGCCGGTCGATGTTTCTCTCTCATCAACGTTTCTAGCTCTCTATCTCTCTCCCTTCCTATCTGTAAAAAATCAATATTTTTAAAAAATTAAAAAAAAATTTTGCTCTTTTGAGAGGTCAGTGTTCACCTGTAGTGAAAAATATTATTGGTGAGATTGCTTCTCTAGTATCGTGTCCTTTCAAGAAGTATTAGAAGGATGTGTGTGGGGAGATAAAGGAGAGAGCAAATTGGAGGACTCTGGGTTGGTTTGGGAAGATTTAGGGTCTGCCATTTGGGGGGTTGCATGGGAGTATTTCAGGGCACCATTGTTTCTTATGTTGAAGAATCTTAAAGGGGAATCAGGACCAAATTAAATATACCATGTAAAGTCTCAGATGAAACCTCCTGGAACTTGAACTTCTCACCTCCAATATGTTTTTATTGATTTTTAGAGAGAGAGGAAGGGAGAGGGATAAATAAAAACATGGATGAGAGAGAAACATCATCGATTGGCTGCCTCCTGCATATCCCCTATGGGGAGATGGGGCCTGCAACCGGGCATGTGCCTTGACCGGAATCGAACAATGATCTCTTGGTTGGTGAGTCAACACTCAACCACTGAGCAACACTGACTGGGCCTCACTTTTATCTCGAAGCCCTCACGCTGCAAGCCCAAAAGGATGAGGACATTTGCATGAGCAGCCACACCATCTATCTCATTTTCAATAACACCCATTCATAATTGCTACCCCAAAGGCTGTTTCTTTTTCCTTCCCACGTTTTGCAATCTTTCCTGGCTCTCCCAAAGCCCAGATGGGTAAGCTCTTTTATTTCCCCTTTCCTAATTGACTCAGTGCTTTTCTGTTTAAGTCAGCTTACCCTGGCATTCTTCTTTTCAAATTTATGTTTAATTAGAACCCAGATCAGCTGCCACTCTGGACTTGGGCGCAGGACTTGATGTGGCCCCCCCAACCCCCGGGGAGTGAGGTGGAAGCAGAGGCTTTCCTACCAAGGGGACTGAGTGAGTCAGTGCCGGGGTGACTCCCTGCTTAGATCTGGGAGACAGGCAGGGCCGATTGGATCTGGGATGTGGATAAACTGAACCCAGTACTCTGGTAATATGCATGTACTTGTTATTATCTTCTCTTCCATTTGGGAGTATGGAAACCTCTTATTTTGCTCATTGCTTAGGTGCATAAGCCTAAGAACAGAGTCTGGCATATACTAGATTCTTAAAATTACTGAGTGAATGGCTTTATTGAGTCCCTGCTGGGTGTCAGGTATTGTCAGAGTTCCTAAAAAGACAGGCATTGACACCATCTCACAGAAGGAAAAATAAAGGAGAAAAGTGACTTTCTTCGTGTTCCTCAAAATAGGGGCAGTTTGTGGATTTCCAGACCTCCAGCCTTAGTGTGTTTCAGCACAAAATTACCCTTGTCCAGACTTTCTCTTTCCTTTTTTCCTTTTGTAAGGAATAGGCCTTTCTAAGACGTGACTTTTTCTAGGCTGACTTTTTTGTTAGTGTTTGGCCTCTCTGTTTGTTGTTGTTTTTTGTTTTTCTGATTAGGAAAATGAGCATGGCGCCATGGAATCTGCCAAATGGAGGCCCAGAAAAATGGCACTACCCGACCGCATTAGTATGCTGGTGCTGCCAGGCAAAGCACCGAGGGTGGGCGGCTCAGCCACAGAAATGCAGCTGCTCACAGTTCTGGAGGCTGGAAGTCCCAGATCAAGGCACTGGCCTCTTTCGTTGGCTTGTAGATGGCTGCCTTTCCCCGGTGGCTCTGTGAGGCCTTCCCTCTGTGCACTTCCGTGTCCTGATCTCATTTTCTTATGAGTGTACCAATCACAACGCATCAGGGCCCAATCTGATGATCTCATTTTAACTTAATTACCTCTTTAAATATCGTACGTCCAAACGCACTCACATTCTGAGGTACTGGGGGTTAGGACCTCAGTAGTATACGAGCTTTAGGGTGGGGACCACAACTCAACCCATAACATTAACCCTGCTTTCACAAAATAGGCGGTAATGTCCAGGCCTGTTTTCAGAGGCCTCATAATGGTAGTGTTATAACCAGGCAGCAAATTACAGCCTGTTCTCTGCTGTCTCTTGTGTCCCGTGGCTGCCTCTTTCTGCTCTTCTCCTCGGCCCCAAAGCAGCCAGAGCAGGTCACACAGGGATCCAGAAATCCAAGAAGGGGGTTTTGTACCAAGTAAATAAAAGGCATTATCAATCATCTACGGCTCATTGTTTAAATTACCATGTTTATTTATGTCAACACAAAATACAATAAAACAACTTACAAAACCCATTTTATCTTCATGTAACATAACTCTTCAGTGAACAGAAGTACTACTGTTAATGTTTTGGCCTTTTCAAGGTCCAGCCCTGGGTCAAAACAGTATTCAGACAAATAGCAAATTCTTCTCTATATATACACACAGGAGGAAAACTTATATTTTCTAAAATCCCATTCCAGTAATAATACAGAAATGTCACATGTCGAGGTGAATACTACGGTTGTGCCATCAGAATTGCAACTTCCTTGTTGCTCTAGATTTCCCCAGACCTTGGGCTTCAGTGGGGAAACAGAGGGCACATCCGCCCTTCAGGTTTCCAAGATGATTGCTTAGTAATTGCTTACTGTAGCTGTGTACTCCACAAGTGTGAGATTTACCTGAGTTACTAAGAAACCAGAAGTAAAAAGTCTCCAAGTAATCAGTGTGTACAGATCTACCTGTAAGACTGATGAGACTTACCACAGAGTAAACTGCTCCAATGTAGTGGGTAAGCTTGAAGCCTCCATTACAGAATGAACTCTTCACATAGCAAAAGACTTCACATTGACATTTACTCAAAGGGACTAAACACGGCACCGAAGTACAAGACTTCACCTGTAACCCGGTAGTCTAAATGCCGTATGTTCAGTCCAGCAAATGGGACTTGCTGCTTAACTCACAGGATCATTTCTATCATTTCAAGGAGTCAGCCTCATGCTGAGGAAAGAAGACACGGTTTGGAGCTAGAAGGTCTGGATCTTGGACCAGTTCTACTTACTCTCTGAACTCTAGTTTCCTTACGAAGATCAGAGAAGAACGTGCTTTGTAAAGTAGTATTTACTGTAAGAAATGTTATTCTGCAGTGTCCAACTCTTTAGTCAATTTAAGGATCCCTAATCACCCCCATGTATTTTGCAAGCAAAATCTTACTTTTTAAAGTAAATATGTCATGCATATTTACCATGTGCAGCTGAAATGTCAAGTTTGGTTATGCAAGTGGGAAAAGAATATAGGTAAGGAAACCCATTATGCACGAGGGACTTTTGTACTCTCGATGTGCTTGACTTAAAACCACTTACAATTTGTTCCTTTTGTAATATGGGAGCTCTTGTTGAATAAACTAGCCATTTAAAGTGATTCTTTAAAAAGAAATTAAAACTTTCATTTGGCAATTACAGGGGTTAGAAGACTGTGAAAGTGAGCAAAATGGATTGAGAAATTAGGGAGAAGCAATAGTTTGAAGACTCAGAAGCAGGAGGGGATCTGAGTATAGAAGTTTATTTTGGGGTGAGTAACTGAAAATAATCTAAATGATAGGCTTGTTATTTGTGTGTGTGTGTGTGTGTTTTGTTTGTTTGTTTTTACTGGCGACTTCCTAAAATTATAAATTACTTCTTCCTCATCTGTAAAACAAATAAAACACTCATTTGTGTATCTGACTTTTAGGTTCAGACAAATTTACACTTAATTAACACTTAATTTTCATTCTTACATTTGGGATTTTTTTTTTTTTTTAGAAAATTGTATTCTTTCAGCTGAAGTAAAACTAGAATCTCTTAGACAAAAAATAAAAAAAAAATTTCTTCTTTAGGAAAGGCACATTTACTAAAAGTTTGGAATAAGTTGGTGAATGTGCATATGTAAGGGGAACATATGGGCCTTGTGACTTGGCTGAGACAAAGACCTCACCTCAGGTAGCTATATTCTAGATACAAATGAGATTCTAATTTCAAACATTTTTCAAATGCAGATCAGGCTCCCATGAATCATTCTGATGATTTTCTGAGGCATTAATGCAACAGAGTGAGCATTCCTCAAATGATCCCCAAAGTTCCCGCTTTGCTAAGGCATTTCTCTTCTCGATTAGTTTGAACCTGCCAACACAGTCTCTATTCTTCACACAGAGAAAGACTGATCTCCAAATGACCTATCATTACCTTAAACCAAGCTCATTTTGAAGCAACAAAGAAAAGAACACTAAGCAGTGCGTTAACATTTCATATCAGTGAAACAGACATTTTTCGTGCGTGAAGTGGTTCTATCCGTCTGTGGAAAGGTCCACCTTCTGTTTGTCCCTGTGTTTGTAGGTCACATTTTTAAAGGTGCTGGTGGAGCCTCTGTACAGTGGATTGGTTCCCTAAAAAATAAAGAGGATGTTCAAATGAAAGTATGTACATTTTGTTATCACACTGTTTTAACATATCTAAATAATTTCATTGTACATTACCAATTGGAAAAAGAGAGTTGGTCTCAATCTTGCAAGCCATTTGAGTAATTTTGGTGTTATACTTTAAAGTTAATACATCCTCATTTTATTTTTTAATATGCAGAACTAGCCCCATGTGTGTATTCTAACAATCTTATCCTTTTTGGAAATGCACTATTTTATTGATTGAAAACAAGATTTTAACTGTACTGAAAATAGTGCCCAGTTCACAGTAAGCACTCGGTTGTTTACTGAATGAATAGAATGAACCCAATAGATGACTCAAAGTAAAACGTAAAGTAAAAAATGAAAAAAGTGAGCATAGAAAGATGATGACACAGTAGTACCTGCCTTTAAGAAATGTGGCCCAGCCAGGTGTGGCTCAGTGGTTGAGCACTGACCCAGGAACCAGGAGGTCACTGGTTTGATTCTTGTGTCAGGACACAAGCCCTGGTTGCAGGCTTGGTCCCCAGTGTGGGGTGTGCAGGAAGCAGTCAATTGGTCATTCTCTGTCATCACTGAATTTTCTATCTCTCTCTCCCTCTCCCTTCCTCTCTGAAATCAATAAAAATATATTTAAAATAAAAAAAAGAAGAAGAAAAGTGTTTCTGAATAGGTTGGTGTGGCTCAATGGTTGAGTATCAACCCATGAACCAGGAGGTCAAGGTTTGATTCCTACGCAGGCCATATGCCCTGGTTGTGGGCTTGATTCCCAGTGTGGGGCATGCAGGAGGCAGCCAATCAATTATTCTCTGTCATCATTGATGTTTTTATCTCTCTCTCCCTCTTCCTTCCTTTCTGAAGTAAATAAAAATAGATATATTAAAAAAAAAAAAAAAAAAGGAAATGTGTTTCTGGTGAGAGGCATCAAACAAAGGCACAAATAATTTGCTAAAATGAGGTCAAATTTCAGAAAGAGAAGCGGCCAGCTGCTTGGGAGAAGCAGGGGAACATTCCCAGGACAGTGTCTGCCTGCTCTGGATGGAGAAAGAACCAGGTGGCTTTTGTTAACGAGTGTTTGAATCAGGGTCACAAGTCGGGTGTTTGCGACACTGCACTTGTGAAGGAGTACAGGTCCTAAGGCAGGTTGGGCAAGATGCGTATGCCCTTGGGGCAGTGAGAGGGGGGTACTGATGCCTGGGTCACTCAGCTGTGCTGTTTGGGTGTCAGGATGTGTCCAGGGGCTGTCACCAGGACCAGAAGGACCACGGCTCTCTGGGTGTTTAAAGAAATGCCAAGCTTGTTCCTTCTATTTCTCTCCTTTGGTCGAACCGCTCCTGGCAGGCACAAGATGTCTGGGTAAGTCAGTCTCTTTTCTCCTTCATTCCAAGATTGACCACAGAAGCTCAGGTGTCAGGCAGCCTGGGTTCAAATCCAGCAGCACTGTGTGACTTTCCTTAAGCAACTCCAAGCCTTGGTGTCCTCATCTATGAGAGAGATTGCCAACATGCCTCCCTTATCTGCGAGGTACTGTACTTTAGCACAGTGCCTGGCTCACAGTTCCCAGTAAATGCTGCCTCTTCTTATTTGCTCTAACTTAGAGCTCTTCTTTCTATTTGGAAATTGCTTTCCTTTTTTGTCCAGGAGAGTGTAATAAAGATATTTCCCCCCAGGGTTTTGGTACTCTTAACATTCCCAAGCCTATTTCTCAGTGTACATGGAGTCCACATATCATCTCAGCGCCTCCAAATTGCTAAATCTTATACGTTGGTCTCCTTATTTCATGAACTGTAGAAATGGTACCAATTTCTAGGCATAGATCTGAAAAAAACATGATTACATTGGCTTTCTAAGTACACTTCTCTCAGCTCTTAGAAGGCCTCAATAAAATGAAAAATGCTCCCAGGTCTCTCCTACCTGTTGCCCTTGGAATCACCACAGTGTCTTCATTTTGAGGAGGAATAACATTTGCACCTGCTTCTCTGTTGCCCAGAGTCAGTGGACTGAGCCCAGACTAAGGAACATGTCACCTGTGCTCAGGCCTTTCGAGTGAGATGCTAGCTCAGTCATGAGGGCAGACAGAAAAGAGGTTCCTTGGTGGTGGATGATAAGTGAAGGCTAAGTCAGCATATTGTCTCTGCTCCTGAGGTCAGCCTGAGGGCCCTGGATAAATCTGAGGGCCCTCCAGTTCTTACTTCATTCCGCTTCCATAAGAACTTGAAATTTGGAGGGTGATGAGCATCCTAATGTGTTCTTAGATGCAGGTAGAGTATTATTTGCAAACAAAAACATGGGATTCTATTAAGTTTAAGAGACTATATGCTATTCAGTTTATGTTGGTTATAGAAGAATAAGAAATGAATTGAAGAGGAAAGAGAGAAAAAATAAGGGCAGGGTGAGGATAATGGCTTGAAGGAAGAGGGTGGCTTCGGGAGGAGGCAAGGTACTCTGAAATTCAGAGTAAATGGCTGTGAGCAGGGCCAGCTTGGATCAGCGAAGAGCAAGAAACTCTCTCGGGGACCCCATCCCATATCATGTCAGACAAATTGAAATTCATCCCATCTCACTCTGAATGTCACTTATATGCACTGCAAAGGAGATGATGAGTTGCTATTGACTGGTTGATTACACAATGTTATTTTGTAGACACTTAGTTGAATGTGTAATTTTGATTGTGTGGTTTCCATTCTATATTTTTTAAGCAATTTCATTTATTCAGGCCTACAATATTTTGGAAGTCTCTTGCAAAGCTAGTTGTAGGGCCTGGGCATGCTAATAGGTGATGGTGGCTAAAGCAGACCCCACTGTAGTAGGAGGGTAAGGTGGAAGTTTAAAAGAGAGAGCAAGTGTATATTGGGGAGGGGAGAGTGTTTCCTGCTCTTAACTGATGCTCACAGCTCAGCAGAATGAGCTCAACCTGGGTTTTGTTGACAGCAGGAAGTGTGACAATGTCTGACCTTGCCTCTTCTAGTGCCACGCAGGTGGCAACTTCCCACAAAAGATTTTCAGTGGAGACACAGGCTTGTGTCTGTTCCATTTCAGGTGAGTCTGCACTCCTTCCCTGACAAGGTGTGTTTCCTCCAACCATCTGGGTTGACTAGGCTAATCCCCCAGGCATCTGAGAGTACTAATTTAGGCTGTGGATTCTGCAAATGTAATGGCACATTTTTAGAGCTTGGAAAAGTGGTAATAAGAAAGCTCTCTGTCATGACCCACAGCTTTCTTAATGATTGCCTAACTGCCAATCGCAGACCTGATTTGTTTACAGTACAAAATCAATCCATGACTGCTAGAAATGTCAGACTGAACATTCTTTGCCGCTAGTTAATGACTTGTCATCCTAGGGGGAAAAATGTTTAATCAAAGATGAATTTAAATATCTCCCCTTTCTGTTTTCATAAAGAATGTGGCTGTAGGTTTTATTTTTTAAAGTAGTAAAAGTAGCCTTTCTTTATGGCTAGGATAACATGTTCCAGGAAGCAAGAATGAAACTCTTTTTCATCCTCAGTTCTGTCACCTTTGGAGTCAGGAGACGCATCTACCTCTGTAGTATGTGGAAGTCCCCTGGGCTTTGAAGACCAGTGAAATTCAATTCTTCAAGAAGAAATATATTTTTAATAAAAAGAGAATAAAATTGAAGATCACAAAATGGATGCATTGAGCAACATTTTTTTCTGATAGAATATATTAGTGAAATTTGAGTTGAATAACTTGAGTTAAACCTCTTTTGCATCCAAGTGAATAATTATTATCCAGTCATTATCTAGTCAAGAACATCAAACATTTGTTATTCAAAGAAACTCAGTTTAACAAGGGAATAACATTTTTCATTCATGCTTTAATCTGTATAATGCATATTTTTTGTTCCATATTAGATGTAGAAATTGCAAAATTTTAGCATTTGAATTTCAGTCATGTTCTACATCCTAAGAGAAAACAATTCATGTTTTGGGGAAATTAACTATTAGTTAAAATGTTATTTTAAAGATATTAATCACTTGTCAGTAATCATGCTTTTGTATGAGAACATTAAAATGTGCTGCTTGGTAGATAGACATCACATAATTGCCCAAGTGCTTATTTGTGGAACACCTGCTTTTTATTTCCCAGAGTGTCAAGGCTGTGCTTGGAAGAAGAGGCTGCAGTTGGGATCAACACTTGGAGAAATCTCTTAACCGCTCAGAATCTCAGTTTCCGTACATTTAAATTGGGAATATGAAGATGATTTCATGGCACTGGTGGTTATTCAACTAACTGCTGCTGTTGGGTTGTTGTTGTTTTTTATGCCAACTTAATGACATTCTTTTGCCTTGTTGCCCTTCTAACTAACTATTGCCAGGCATTTGCTTGATAGTTTGTAGGAGTTAAAAACAGCGATAGCCAGGATATCCGGTTATGTTACTGTCCCAACACTGTGGCCTCAAGTTCTAAGTCACCAAACTAACCTGTAGGTTACATTTGACTTCGTTATGGATGGATAGACTATATACTCAATGCAAAAACCACAATTTACTTTCCTAAAGGTTTTTTTTAATTATGAAAAAATCCAGACATATACAAAAGAAGATAAAAGCTGTCTAATGAACCTCTGTAGACCTATTGCCCAGCTTCAACAATTATCAAGATTTTGCCACACTTACTTCAACTATCACTCACTCTCTCTCTCTCTCTTTTGGCTGAATGATTTCAGGACAAACCAGGCTTCATTTTCGTTCACCCCAAAATCTAGATTATTATTATTATTTTTTTTTTAGCAAAGTCATCATGCCATTATCAAACCTAATTAAATTAATCACAATATGTTGCTATCATTTTAATAGCAGTCTACATTAACCTTTTTCCATTTGTAAAAAAAAATGTATTTCTTTGGATTATTCAAATCAGGATCAAAATAAGATCCATACATTTCATTTGGTTGTTATGTATGAAGGCATTTTTAATGGGAAGATCAAATATATAAAATGTTCTATGGCCCTTTGTCCTTCACCATACAATGATTATTTAAAAATAACTACATAATATATAAACATCTCTTATCAAGATAAATTTACCTGAAACAGAAGATTCCATTTGCTCTAGGAATTGAAGATACCACTAAAAACTTAGAGAAAAAAGTGTTTGTAACAGCAATTTATCTGGGCAAATGAGCCCTCAGGAGCATTGTGCTGGCTTGTATTTTCTCCTGTGATATTACTGTTTTTAGAATCAGCAATGTAAGATAATTGCTATTAGATAGCTGGATGCACCATTAGGGATAGAGAGATGAAATTAAAACCATGAAATTGTTTCTATGGGCCTCTAGAAATGTAACTCTCTCTCCTGTGGAAAAGAAACACACAAAATTGGAGTCCTGGTTTGCGTTTGCTCTCTGTAAAGAGGAGACACATAAATTATATCTATTGAGTATGTATATTTAAAGGTTGATACTTTTGGGATTTTTTTTTTCAGGTAGCTGTTTGAAATGTATGGTATCCAGAAAAACTGGATGGTATTTAAAAACTCTTCTCAACTTTTCTTTGTGACCTATTTTGAGTAATGTGTATTTCCATGGTAATGGGCATGAACTGTCTAGTACTCATGAATCTTATTCCATTAATTATAACATAAATGTTTGTGGAAATGTGTGCCCACAGCACCTATGCTTTATCAAATGGGGCCTGATGGGTCCTCCTGGTGGTGAGAAATAAAATATATGCCCTTGCTGTCCTAAAGTAGCTACTAATAAATAAGGAGACTCCAGAGTGGGGAAATCCCCCACTGTTCTGAGAGACAAATGCATGCGATGAGGATGAGTACCGCCTGGGACCCAAGTAGTGGACAGAGGTTCCTTTGTTTCCAAGGCAGAACATAAGTCAAAGGTGTTGAGGACATGGTGAGAGGAGCAAAGAAAGAACATGACATGCTAACTTTGTTTTAGAGCAGAAGAGAGCTGACTTCCCATTTCTCCTAAGAGACACTTTCTCCCTTAGACAAGGAGTAGCCCCTACATGTTTACATACCGTTTGCCACTTAGCCTTTGACCTTTCTGCTTCAAATTTGGCAACTTCTTTGCGATCATGAAATGACACAAGCAACTTCCAAATGCACAGTAAGACAACCCCAATGAGAAGAATAGCCAGTGAAACTCCCAACATGATCATGGGAATGTTTGGTGGTTTTGGACAGTCTGTGGGAACAAAGAAAATTATATAAGAAGATGGTACAATTAACATTTTAATAAACATTTGTTAAGTTTTCCAACCATGTTTTTTTCTAGTAGAGGGGAAAATAGTATCACCATTTGTTTTGCTGAAAAAAAAATATTTTTAAATGAGTTACTTGTTGAAGGATAGCCCTGTTCCTTCAAAGTAGAACAGAACATAAAGTAGCAGTTTGGCTATTCAAAGCAAATGGATATACACTAGAAAGGTTGACTCAGAGTTAGAATCCGAAAGAGTGAAAATTAATGTACATGGAATATTTAAAGGAGCATAAATAAGAGACAGTTTAATCACTAAACATAGTCTCTTCTGGGTATATGATAAAATAGAAATGAGACGAGTGTGTGTGTGTGTGCACATACACATAATTACTTTTATTTATTTTTTGAAACTAAGAGATTATTTTCAAAATTATATGAAACCTGCCCTCTGAAAAGTTTCTTATTTATTGCTGCTGATTTCTTTTCTTTTTTAAAAAATATTTTTTTAAAGAGGGAAGAGAGAGAGATAGAGTTAGAAACATCAATGAGAGAGAAATGTCAACCAGTTGCCTCTTGCACACCCCCTACTTGGGATGTGCCCACAACCAAGGTACATGCCCTTGACTGGAATTGAACCTGGGACCTTTCAGTCTGCAGGCCAACTATCCACTGATCCAAACTATTATAGTAAGGGCCTGCTGCTGATTTCTAATTTATATAAAGTTTAATAGACAGAAGTGAATCACAGCTTTCAGTTTTATTTTAACTCTAATGCCTGATGTCCTGAAAAGTTCTTGGGACTGGGGTCAGGAGAGGTGGGTTCAATTCCTATCTGAATTGAAATACAGGAACCATCTAAACCCATCAAGTCCTTTGATCTCTCTGAGCCCCAGAACCCTCATCTGTAAAACAGAAGTGTGGGACTTTACTGTTCCCTTCCTTCCCTGAAATAGGTTAAGCCCAGGAGCTCATTCTGATTAAACCCACAGCTTCCTAGACCTCTCCCCCGAGATTCTCATTTTCGTCGGCCTCAGATGCAGCCAAATATTTTTTATTACTAAAAGTACTCCAAATGATTGTTATCTTCAGGGAAGTTTGGAAAATTAGATGTTTGGCATAGTCCTTTCAACTTGAACATTCTATGAAATGTTATTTTGACTATTGATGATAGTAATGTAATTTTGCAATTATACCGTACCTTCCCTCATTGATGCAGAATGACTAGTAATTCTTGCAATATGCCTGGGAGATGACACAGTTTTAATGAAACAGTATAAGTAAGCTCTCCCCTTGCTTTCATGGGGGAAAAATATCCCATATAAAAATTATCGTTAAATATCCGCCTCCCTCTGCAAGAAGTGAGGCAAATTCATGGCATCTGAGGAGGAAATGAATCATGCTTAGTTTATTTGAACTCTTAGTGCTTTTCAATATTTAATAAGGAGAGTTATACACCCAGATTACTCATGCTACCTTCAAGGTAAGAATTTATAGCTGGTCTGAATTTGAGCGGGACTAATGACCCCCTGACTGTGTGATGCCTGGCCTCACACATCTTTGTTCTTTGGCCAAAAAACCGTGTGAGGAGATTATGCAGAAATAAGTAAAGGAGCTAATGAAATGGCAAGTAAAGTGTGAGGATCTAAAGACTGTTTCTAGCACAGCAAATGAACCACGGCTGCTTCTAACAGGTTAGCGACACTCCTGCAAAGAAAGCAGCAGGTGCCTGGCAGTGAGAATATAGATTGGCTACATCTTTGACTACAGAATGTCTGGGGCGGGGCATAGCATATTCTTGCTTAAAGCAAGATGAACCTTACTAAGACCCTGCAGCCAGAATGTGAATTAGGAGGGCTCACCACTTTGGAATAAAAAGAGGAGGAATTAGCATGACCTAGCAGAGATGATTATTTTAAGAATTTAGAATCATTGAGAATTATTCATTTCTCAAGACAAGATCTTGGCCCAAGAAACAAAGCAAGTATTACACAATAGAAAACCCAGGTCAGTACGGCACCTAATTCTAAGGACCTGAGTTTCTAAGGCTGCCAGTCTGGTAGGTCAACCACATACGGCTACTGAACACTACAGAAGTGACTTTCCAAATTAGGTTGTGTGACTAATTTCAAAGACTTAAAAGAAAAAAAATGTAAACAATTTCTAGTTTTTATATTGATTACACATCAAAATGACAATATTTTGGATATAGAGGATTAAATAAAACGTTAAAATTCATTTAAACCTTTTTTACTTTTTAATATGGTTACTAGGAAATTTAAAATTATATATGTAGTTTGCATTAACATTTATATTGGACAGTGCTGATTTAACATATTTTGGGGATTCAAATATTTATTATGTTCAGACAGCCAGTGGGAGGCAGTATAGCACAATAGTTAAGAACATGGACTTCCAGTTCCAGGACCAACGCTAGTACATAATTACTGCAAAATTTAAATTCTCTATGCCTCAATTTCATTACTTATAAAATGGAAATAATAACAATACCTGCTTTATATGGCTGTTGGGGGTATTAACTGAATTAATACATGTAAAGCATCTAGAATAATACCTGGCATATGGTACTATTAAGGGCTCAGTGCTGAGAGTTGCTTTTATTACTACAACAAATTCACTCTTCCTCCTTTTTTATCCTCAAGACCACGAGGGCCTGGAACCTTCCAGTTGGAAGCCACATCCACATCCCTGACAGGAAGACTCCCCAATGATCATTCTTGCCCGGCCCCTCATGAATGTGGCTCTTATTCTTGAAAGTTTTTCCAGATGTAAGAAAAAAAAAGATGAGCAAAGCTCTCCTTACATCCCCCGCACCTCCCATGATGACCCTTCACTTGGTTTCTTTTTCAGTTTGTTTGGAATTCTTAAGCTCATTCTCCTCTTTTCCTATTTGCCTCTTTTCTATCCAGACCTCCCACTAGCTGTCCGAAGTGTCTTTGGTCTTAAAGGGAGAGGGAACTACGGACTCCTGGGGATGGGCTCTGCCCTCAGGACCCTGAGATATCTGGCCTATCTAGCTAGAAGGCCAACATTTGCCGGGAAGGCAGCCTTCCTGGAGCTGTCAGGTGACTAATGACTACAAAAGCATGGGGGAAGAAAAAACTGTAAAGGCTCAGGGCATCTGAGTGTTCTTGGAAAGATGGCCTGTTGATGTGCCACTCAGATTGTGTGGGACAATAAAAGAACTAACACCAACAGTTCAGTAACAAGGAGGCATTTATTTCAGCTAAAGGGGTGTTTCATGCACACATAGACACACACACTCACACAAATAAATAAAAATAAATAAAAATTAAACCAACTATATACAAAAGCTCCTGAATTAAAAACAGACCCTATACTGGAAGTTTGTTTTTGTTGCTTGGAACTCATTTTCCCAATGGAATTAATATTATAAAGAATGATTTTGGTTTAAGAAAAACATGTGAAAGCCACTCCACAGTCACAAATTGTGGGTCTAGTTGAAGAATTTGACTTTATAAAACAGTGACAAAAATTACTGTAAAATAATCCTTCCTTATACAATAGAATTCACCTTAACTTTCTTAACTAACGGCCTATAATGCATTTTACATATTCATTTCAAAAAAGTCTATTTACATGAGATTCTCAAGAACATGTCTCCAATTGTACTCTGCCCACTTGAGCTCCAAGGTCATGGTCACAGCCATAGCCTTGCATCTTGCCTCTCCCTGACCCTTAGTCCTGCAATGTGATATTTTTCTAATCATATTCTCTTGCTTGGTTTCAATGTTTTAAACTTATTCTTTGGTTACCTTGGTATTGCTTTGGTTTTTACACTCTGAAGTGATGGCAGTTTGATACTCTTGGTTTCAAATTTAGGACTTAATGTTTTGTCAGCACCATGATGAGCAAGCACAAACAACAAAACACATGTGCCTTCTAGCCTGCCTTCACTGCTGTTGTCTGGGGCAGAACTCAGGCTCCAGGCTGTATGGGGGAGGAGGAAGTTGCTGACAAGTGCTGGGAAGGTCTGATTTAGTGCAGTTATCATTTCTGCTAGAAAGGTTTAGAGACACATTATATATACACACACACACACAGACACACACACACACACACAAATATATATATATATATATGGCTTTCAGAGATGGAGGGAGAGGGAGAGAGAAATAGAAACATTAGTGATGAGAGAGCATCATTGATCAGCTCCCTCCAGCATGCCCCACACCGGGGATGGAGCCTGAAATCCAGGCATGTACCCTGATTGAGAATCAAACCGTGACCTTGTGGTTCATAGGCCGAAATAACCACTGAACCACACCTGCCAGGCGAGGGGCACATTCTTAACTGAAGACTGAAAAGATGGGCACCTGTGAGTGTCCAAGAATGTGGCCAAGGCTGTAAGGCAGAGTCACTCAAAGGAGGTCCTGAAACCATCTGTATCAGAGCTGCCTGGGCCACACTCAAGTGTGTCTGATGCTCCCTAAAGTTTAACAACTTCTCAACAAGAGTGCCTTCCTCTTCCACTATTCTCTCTTCTCTATATCAACTTCTAATATAAACTTCTGTCTCCTCTTCACTGAAAATGTGATTTTTATCTGAGGGCTTCCTGAGTCCCAAGGCGGCACCAGAAGCTGGTGTGGAAGCAAAGCCACAGAAGCAACGGACTCAGAACACTTCCTCACTTCCCGCTTTGTGTCTTTTTGATTTGGCGTTATCATCTAATGGCCCATGGCTCTAGGTTATGAATTGGTACATGTTTTATATGCATCATTCCATTTAATCCCTGAGTAATTCCTTAAAAGAAAGTATTATTTTTCCTATTTTACAGATGGGGAAATAGAGGCAAGTATCTTCCAAAGTGTGAAGCAGCTAGTAAGTGGCGGAGCAGGATTTGAACCAAGGTTCACCTGATTCAAAACTCAGTCTCATATGCTGTTATGCTCTTTCCCATTAGTCTTTCCTAAAGGTACGCTTCCTGCATCCAGCCTTTCTGGGAGAGGATGATTGGTGCAAATACACTCATCTTGTCATCTAGTCTTATTAAGAGATATTGAAAGCTATCAAACCTTCCGGTCATTGGGAAAATAGAGGCATATCATCAAAAATTTGGAAATGTCTTTCTGGCAAGCTACCCAAAGTGTCTTTCTGGTTGTTTTTCCCTCTCCCATGTAGTATCACTTACCATTGACAATGAAAGGCACGCCACTCACCTTTCTCGTTGATGCTGTGAATGATGGTTTTCCCTTCGCTGTCTGTAGTTATTAGGAATGTAATAAGACATTCATTTTCTCCTTGTAGAGAACAGGAAACAGAACTATCCTTTGAGTAATCTGCAGATAAAGGAATCATTCATTAGGTAAATTGCTTTCCAAAAGAGATTATTTTGAAAGCACAGTAGTATTGAGTTTTAATATGCAAATGGGAAATTTCAACATTGCAGAATAGGAATAGAAAGGACATAAGATGTTTCCCACTGACTGAGGTTTTAGTTTTTACTCACGTTCCAGAAGAACAGTTCCAGGTGTGGTCACTCAGGACTGACCATCAAGTGCACCTATCAAACTGATGGGGGCAGGATTTCAATAGAGTAAAAGGACTTCAAGGCAGGTAGGCCTAGCTGTCTTGGGGATAGAATGGCCCTGATTATGGTAATGAGGGGTTATATGTTCTTCTTGGCTGCAAGTATCTGGGAGGAAGCCTAGATTACACTTCAGAAAGAGACTGACTACACAGTCCAAACTGATACTGATACTTCTAAGGGGTTAGGGGAAGAGCTTTTCCACAATGCCCTAGTCAAGATTGCTGGCCATGCTGTGTCCCAACAATAAACACATATTAATATCAGGAAACAGAGATTGAAGTGTTATATAGCTCAGGGACCAGCAAGATAAAGGTAAAGCTCAGATAAAAAAGAACCCAGGATAACAGTTTGATTGACCCTTCAGCTTAGCCCTTTCCTTAATTAAAAAAAAAAAAATCAAATTTTCCTTAAATCTTTTCCAAATAGAAATTATTTTCTTGCTGAGCTTATTCAAGAAGCAGAAAATGAATGTCATATCAGAAATTGAAAATACAGTAAAACGGTCAATCTGAGATGTTAATACTACTTATCAGAGATTCTAGTGGCCTGCATCTATGCCAAAATTATGTAGCATTTTCCCAATTAAAAAACAACTTGCTTCAAGTTCTCCTGTCTTACAAGTTGGAGACTTTTTAATGTTATAGTTACAAACACTTTTATGGAAACCTGTAAATAGAATGATTGTTTGTTATTAACCTAAATTTGTTATAAACCTAAAATTTTAAGACAAATCCAGGCTTAGTGTACTAAGACTTAGTAGGTCAGAATATTAAAATGGCACTCTCCCAGATAATCTTGAACATACCCTTGCTAGACTTATAACCTTTCTCAGTACTTAAATATAAAACAGGGTTTTAATGAAACAGAATCTATATGTGTTGCTCTGACTCTAACAAAGAGAACTTGATAGGATTTTTGTTGTTGCTATTGTTCAGTATTGCCATACTCATAGGAAGGCACAAATATATAAGCTATTTTGCATTCAATCTTTAAGATAAAAATCTCACATTAGGGTCTGTGAGAGGTATGCCTATATTATCTATGAAAACAGGGACTAGTAAAACTTTTAATAATATTACTAAGATTTCAGATAATAGGTTTAGGTGTTTTTGAATCCATTAGAAGCATCTATGCACACAGGAATATTAAAAAATCTAATTACAAATCATTCTCATGTGATCATTCCTAAATGTTTATGATTATCTAAATCACATGGGAATTCTGGAAAAATGGATTTCAGAGGCCTGTCCCTGGGCATTCTGATTTGGGAGGTCATGGGTATACACAGGCGTTTGTATCTGAGTGAGCTGTTTAATAGTGTTTTTAATAAGGTGATTCTAATTAAGAAATTTGGGAACCTCCTGGCAACACTTGGTTAATGAAATTCGTGTTATTTCATATATTTGATACCAACAAAACTGCCTATATATAATTCATACTTCGGTTATTTCTAGATGGCCTTCCACACACATCCTTCTGCCACACCACTAGGTGAACTAGGATTCATCCAGCCTTGGGGAAGTATGCCATTTCCTGTCACACTGTTTTCCTCCTTCCCTCCCTCTTTCCACCACCACAGCGCACACCCACTCTGTTCCTCTCGAGCTTACTCAATGGAACATTTTATTCTCAGGTAGAAAATATGTGGATAGCTTATAATACTCCTTTCAGTAATATTAATCCTGCTTTTTTATTTTCTTTTAAATAGCCATGTCGAAGCACAGGGAGGCTTAATTTACTTGGCCAGGATTATTTAAGTTTTAATGGAACTGCTAATATGACCTTTGAGTCATGACTCCCTTCTTGCTTTAATTACTTCACCACTCCTTTTCATGACGGTTATGACTTTAGACTTGGCCTGCTTCACAGTGTTTGGGTATTAAAATGGCATTATTGAATGTGCAATGTAAGGGTCCAGCTTGGGCTGGAGATTTGCATAATTAGCTGCTAAGGTTTTCTTTTGTTGTTCATAAGAAATGGACCTTTCTTTCCCCCCCGCACCTTTATGAGTGTCAGCAGTGCTGTGCTAGAATAATACAAGGAAAATAAGATCTCAGGCAGTCCATGAAATCATACTTAGAAAAGAAAGAAATGTGAGCCTGGGGTGAGGAGGCTGGGGTCTAGGGAGGTCTAGAAAAAATGTGGAAAGCATAAACCGCCGGCACCACTGAATCAAAACAACTGTGTTTAAGACCTCTGCTCCGGGGTCAAGTCAGTAGTTCTCAGAGAAAACAGTTTCCCAAGCATGAAAAAAGGCTTCTGTGGTCGGTAAGTGTGAGCACTTAGAATACGGTGTATTTAAGAACAACAGCCTTTCTTTGCCTCTCCTGAAAATTTGTATCGTACATTTAACATCATGTGCATAGGAACTCTCATGGGTTCTTTAAGGAAGCAAAAGATGTAGCTTCCCATTTCCAAAATTCATATGACCACGGGTGCGAATTAGTGTCCCATGGGACACAGTTTGAGCAACAAAGCTCCCATTTCCAAAATTCATATGACCACGTTTGGAATTAGTGTCCCATGGAACATGGTTTGAGCAACAAAGCTCGGAGTACATGAATGTTGGGGTAAATGAACAATGTCACTTTCTGCAAAATGGATTGAGTAAAATTAAACTGCATGTCCTTGGCAATGCTCACACAAATCACCATAGCACAGGTGGGGAACAATTTATTTGGATTATAAAGTTATACTTAGGTTACCCTTCATGTCCTAGTTGGGGAAGGAAGGGCTGATAAAGACCCCGTGAAGGACAAATATGTTTTGATAATTTCAAGGTGATATGATCAATAATATAACTGGGTGGGTAACTTGAAATAGGACTTATAACAGGCTCATTAGAAAAATTACTTTTGAATTCACTAACAAATACATATTTTTCTTAAATTCATTGAGATTAGTGCTTCTAAATGGTATTAAAATCCAATTATTGTTTTTAATTTCTGAGTTGGAAATAGTTGCATTCCCCTCTTTTGAAGATAATGTAGACAAGTACACAAAAAATAATAATGTAAATATTTTAAATGCCACTTGAGATTTAGTCTTCCTCTCAAATCTAAGCACTTAGGATAATGGACTTAGAAAACCTTGTATTTAAATATGGTAACTCCCCTGTTCACGATTTCCATGTTTTCCAAGGTTCACTCTCCTTTTCCCCTCAGCACATTAGATTTCTCCAGCTGCTACTGCACAGGGTTCTAGCCATTTGCAGGGCATTTTCTGCAATTTTTAGTCATTTCCTGGAAATATCTGGTAAATATCCCAGATGGTTGATGTGAAATGAAGCCAGAAGGATATGCTGAGATTTGTACTAGTTACTAATCTGGGCAGGCCACAAATGCCAGTCTCCTCAGTGTTCTCACCACATCTTACCTCCAGTATCAGTGTAAGGAATACAACATTTTGTCCAATTTATGGCTGTTTGGCATATATATTTTTTCTTATTTATTATACCAGAAAAAAAAAAAAAAAAAAAACTCAGACGAGGGGTTTTATGAGTACCAATCAGGCCCCTCTACCTAGGGTTATTCAATGGTGCACAGCCAGAGATCTCAAGTTTGAAACAATGTAGGTAATTAAAAAAAAAAAAAAGTAAATGCCATTAACTTATTCCTCCTTGGAAATGGATTGATTTTGGTATTCTGATTCCATCTATTCAAGTGTGTCATGAATTATTGTCTTGATTACACCGCTTCGCCTGAGATACATCCTGGTGGCATCTGTACAGAGGGCAGAGCAGCCGTTTTAGCTGAGCAGCATGACAATGCGGAGTGTGTGGTGGGGAAACACCAATCTCCCCAGATTGTCCCTTTGAGAGGCGTGAGTCATCTTCTTTGTGTTAATGTCCACAAATTATTCTCCCAGCTAAAATACAACCCATTTGAATATTTGAGATGCCAATTTGCCATGAGGAAAATATATAATTGTAAGTAATTACGTCTAAAAACGACAGGTGAAAACAAGAACAGGGCTTGCTAAGCAGTTAAAGGTAACAGGCCCTTCTCATATTTTGAGAATTGAGGATGCTCATGTAGAGCCCATGTTTGGAAAGTTGGAAGTAAAAACATACTGAGGGGAGAGGAAGAAAACCGGTCCACTAACCGGAAACTGCCCTGGGTCTGAGGGCTCTATCAGGAGGTCCATAATTTACCTTGCTCTGTCCTATTTTGAAATACAGCAATTGGACAATAGGGAGCAATTTCAGGCTTGGGGTTAACAGTTAGGTATTGCTTCAATTTTCTTCCTTCTCATTCAAACAATTTAGCATTCTGGAATTCTCTACAGTTGTATCTGTTAAGGAGAGGTAAACCTACCCACAGAGCTGACGTCAAATAGAATAGCCATGACTTTAATGTCTTGTATCCCCAACCACTAGGTGTTTAGCTTTATGGAATACATTTCCCCTTAATAGCTAATTGAGACAATGAATGTCCTGGTACAAATGAAGTTCAGCTATTGGAAAGCCCGCCAGAGAGACGGTGCCCCTCAAGAACTAGGCAAAGAAAAGGAAAGCAATTTAAGACAAGCAGAACCTTCTTCTTCATTGATGGTCACACCAGCTAGTTTGCATTTGTCAACACATTCTTCTCGGGCCTGGTCATCTGCAGACAGGTGGCACTCAATGCAGCTCCTGGGAACATTAGTCAACAGTTTATCAGTTCATGTTGGCAACTGGGAGAGTGCTTACTGCTGTTACTGTGGTACCTGCTAAAGGCGTGTCTCAGAGAAGACGGTGCCTTTTGTTACTTTCAGAAGTTAGTTGGGTGATGTCCAAGAGGAAACTGCTTTATTCTGAACTCCACTCAGTAATCAATGTTCCCTGAGCCAGCCCTGATAATAGCTACTATCCTCATTATCTCTAATGAGTGTTTAAGTTAGAGAAATAAAAGTCAACAAAAAATCCCCCCAATTATTTTGGTATTTGATTTCGTTATGTTTTCATTTTATATTTTTCTTGGGAAGGGCTTAGGCTGCTACAGTATAATTACAGAGTAGACAAAGTCTGCATTTCTTAACAGAAATGGTCCATATCTTAACAAGAATTCATCTAGGTTATGAATGACTAGGTTCACTTTTCTGTAACTCTTTTGAATGCATCCAAGCCTTGACAGGGGTATTTTCAAAAGGTAAGGCTTGTAAACTGGGTCCACATTAATACAAGCTTTTTAATAAAAGATTGCTACTTACTGAAAAGTGTATTTCCCAAAGCATAGCCCAGGAATGAAGCCATTATAATGATGTCTCTATAGCAAAGTAATACTTTGACCCTAAATTTATCTTGTGCTGAAAATCACTTCAAACAGATTGTGTTTGGAGTAACCCAAAACAGCAAATGTTGTCTTACTGTGGGCACATCATGGTGCCTCTCTCTTCCTCTGGCCATGGACATGTACATTCAGCTACTAGTAAGTGCTGGAAACATTCCCCAACCCCACCCATGCCTTGTCACATCTTAGCTGCAACCTCCTTCCTCAGACAAGTCTTCCATGACCCTTCCCAGTTAGTTCCCTTGCAGTAAAACCCTCCGAGTTCCTCTGCAGGAAGGGCTTGAGAGCAGCAACCTATGTGGGAGTGGGGATAGAAGCCTTGTCTGAGAGTTTCCTTGCATTGCATGCATATTGTACTTATCCATGTTATATATTTATTTGGAATGGCTTTGCAGGGGGCTGCTGGACATGGTGGAAGCCCTTAGAACCTCTCCCCCTTTGGGCATCTCACTGACGGCTGCCCAAGCTAGTCTGGGGGCCCTATCCCCTGTCATACTTACAGTTCCGGCCATCTAGCACCCTATATATCTCCTGTTTAACTGTCAGCCCAGATATCATCGTAACTATTTTTGTTCTTTTTAAATTTGTATTTTTTAATTACAATTGACCGGCAATATTATTTTCTGTTATTTTTAGATATATAGAATAGTGCTTAGACAATCATATACTTTTACAGAGTATTTCCCCTGATATTTCTAGCACACACATCATCATTACTTTTAAAAATATCTGACTTTCCCACTAGATTCTCAGCACCTGTAATGGTAGCAACTATAACAGGTTCTGTCATCGCTGCGTGCCCATTTGAATACAGCCCATTTGATTCAGGCATGATTTCTGGCATGGAGAAGGTACTCAATACCTACTTAATAAATAAATGCATGAGTGAATAAATGGAAGAATGGACTTATCATAAAACTTTGTAGTAAATACCACAAAGATCACTCTGATTCCTCAAAGTTAACCTACTTGACTATTCATTTCTTATCTTATAAATCAGATTCAGGGTAGAATCATGTTTACAGAGATGACAAAATAGAAAAATAATAGGAGAAACATCTTAAAAGGACATTTTACCTTAAATTCTATTCAAATAAGTCTATGTCTCCATCCTTCTCTTGGCATATGTCCAGGCACAATGACAGAGAAGTTTTAACACCTGAATGGTGAATACCACTAAGTGAATGTTGATTTTTTTTTATTTCACTTACATTAGAAATGCAAATGCCATAATTTGGGGTACCAAAGTTAATGGAAATATGAGCTGTTTAAGCATGTTTGCTGCAAAATACATCATGCACTGCAATGTCATAACAGTCAATTTGGAGACTTGTTTCACTTAACCTACAAATATCCCACTTCCATTAGGAAGTTAGCTGTCAGCCCTCAGTTGGTTGGGCATGAGTTTGTGAACTATAAGGTTGCCAGTTAATTCCCAGTCAGGGCACATGCCCAAGTTTCAGGCTTGATCCCTGATAATGGGTGTGCAAGAGGCAGCCATCAATGTTTCATTCTTACATCTATGCATCTATGTTTCTCTCTCACTCCCTTCCCCCCCCCAAAAAACACAAAATAAAATAAAATAAAAAGCTAGCTGTCAACCAAAGAAATAGTTTCTTTATTGGAAAATAAGAAAATGTGTTTTGTTTGTTGTTGTTGTTCATATGGTATAAAAGATAACACAATACCCAATAGTCGTGTAGAATGACAACCAAAACAAGGAGCCAAAGAGCATGAGTGGTAAAGAAGGGAAAAAATTGAAAGCCAAGTTTGTGTTTCTGCCAGTTTGCTTTCATGGGTCTATAGATAGGAATGAATCAGAAAGGTCAGGTTATGAACTTCTAGATAAAAAAGAAGTTCTGTTTCCCCTGAAAAAAATACTGAATGTGGGTGTCGTCAGTCTACCCCCAGGGCATTCCTTCTGTGTGGCTGGCTTTGTAACTGAGAGGTGATGTGATATCAGAGTGGGACATCAGCTCAGCTTCTCCTGCTGGTTTCCAGCAGGAATGCAACAGTGTGGTCCTGGGTAATCAGGCCTGGGAAAGAGGCAAGTGAAGGACTGGAGACCAAATCCAGCAAAACAACCTGAGGCCTGAGTTTATAAAATGTCACTATGATTTTTTTAAGGGGACTGAAGAAAGCAGAGACATTACCGTTTAGAGTTGCAGGGATCGCCGCAGGTGGGACAGCGTTCACAGGCCGGTCCCGAGGCTCCGGGGTGCGTGCAAACACACTTGCCACAGACGCAGTCGCCTCGCCCGCTGCAGAGCACCCCGTCCTCAGAGATGCACGGGTCCGTGCTGGTCGTGCAGTTACAGTACTCGCCGGTCCAGCCGCTCCTGCACACACACTCGCCACAGTCACAGTCGCCATTATCTGAAAAACAAAACGCTGTTTCTTAGGGTCAAAACCACCTTCTGATTTGGGGCACCATCTTTTCTGTTTACTTTTGAACACTGTCAAAATAATGAGGGGAAAAATGAGAAAAAAGTGAGTGTGTGTGTGGGGAGGGGAGAGGAAGGGAGTGAGTATAGATATATTTTATGATATATATTTGCTAACTGTATTTATTTATTGACCTGGTCTCTTCACTGAAGACCAGCTTGCTTACCTGATGTAATATCAAAGAGAATTCATAGCCAGGTGAAAGGAGATAATGGCTTTTACAATGTTTTGCTATAAATGTGGGTGCCATAGCATAAAGATACAAGACAGACCTGGATAACCCCCCATCTTTACAACAATCCATCTCAATGACCACGAAAACCTCATCTGTAAAATAGAAAGGATGAGATCTACTTCCAATGGTTGTGCTCAGAGAGACAACGTGTCAGTCTTTTGGCTCTGCATTCACTCATTAGATGTCCTACAGACATATGGTGAGTCCTCAACAAATTCATTTACTTAACGAACTTTAATTGAACATATATTGTGTGCAAAATATTGTATAAGGCAAGATGATACAAAATTAAATAAGACAAGGCCACTGAGCTTATAGTCTAGTGTTAGGAGACAGGCAAATCAATACTACTACCAATAAATACAATACAATATGATCATTGTTATACTCATGGGGAAGAGTTTCCAAATTAGACTAGAGATCTGGGAAGTTTTTAGAGGAAATGATGTTTGGGCTGACTTTGAAAGATAAAGGTAAAAGGAAGATAGAAGACAAGGACATGCATTTTAAGCAGAGAAAACAGGTTAACCCCAGAAGCGTGTAATTGTGTGACCTGCTTAATACTCGTGGTAGTTTCATATAGACAGAGCCAAAGGTGTGGCAAAAGGGGAGGGGGGAAAAGGTCTGCAAAAGGTAAGAAGTCACATCATGAAAAGCTTTATGGACTAAAGTAAGAACTTTTGCCCCAAAAGTTATGAAAGTTTAAGTAGGGGAGAGGCCTGAACAGATAGATATGTGTCTAGAAATGTCCTGGCATCAGTAGAGAGGGTCAAACTAGAGACAGGAAATCCAGTTTGGGAACTGTCAGAGCCTGCATCTTTGGGAATGGAGAGGAAAGAGTATGCCACAGGGAATGTTTAGGGTATGGATACGGGAGCTGGGTGGAAGAGGAGTGGAAGAGATAGAGGGGTAGAATCCTCCCCAGGTGACCAGACTGGGCTGCTAGCTGGATGGTGGGGTTTTCTACTGATCTGGAATGGAAACTAGCTCATGCTCTGTCTCATCCCCAGGGCCTGGCATAGAGTACTCCTTCATTACTGAATGAACGGTTAGCTTGGAAGCAGAGGAGGAGAAGTTTTGAGTGGGGAGAAAATGTGTTCATGTTTTGTTCTGTTGAGTATGAGTGACTTGTGTGACATGCTAGTAGGCAGATGAACACAGGGGCTAGAGATGGTGCTGATGCGCCCCTCCCCCCACACACACACATTAAAAATCTACTTATAACTTGACCCCCCAAAAATTTAACAACTAAGAGCCTACTGTTGACTAGAAAGAAACCTTACTGATAGCATAACAGTAGATCAATAATTGTAGTGCATGATATATGTATGATATAGTGCATTCATACAATAAAAAGAAAAGAAAATGTTATCAAGAAAATCATAAAGAAGAGAAAATGTATTTACAGTATTTAAGGGCCCACGCAGTTAAGCATGTGTTGTTTAGGGGTCAACTGTATGTATGCATATGGACCTGAAGCGTGCAGCTTGGGATCCATTAGAGCTAGATGGCAGTTGAAGTTGTGAATCAGGTAAATCATCTAGGGGATGCAGATGGAGTGAGACACTCCCTGGAGAGCATCAGAATTTAAAATGCAATCAGAGGAAAGAATGCTTTCAGAGGTAAGAAGGGAATAAGAGGATGTTGCAGAAGCCCAGGGCAGAGACAGCTTGAAGAAGGAGGCTGAAGATTTGCTATAGGCAAGCAGCTCATCCAGTCCTGAAAAGCTCCTTTTGAATCTGGCCACATGATACTGTATGAAATACTATGAAGTGACAAATAAAGTATTTATTATAATGGGCTTGTGCATTTTTTGGTGCCTCCCATGCGTAAAGCTTAAGAGATATGAAGTAGGAAATCATAGAACAAAGGTGACAGCCACAAAAATTTGGAAATTGGATTCTGTTCCATGCATAAACATATATACACAGAAAAAGACATACATGTCTCTAATGAAAGATAAGAGTTGAAATATATATTATATATATATATATACTAAAAACATATACTTCTCTAGTGAGAGATTAAGAGTTGAAATTTAGCTGGATCTATGACATTAAGACATACTCCAACTGCATTTCATAACCCATTTAATTCATAATTGAACTAATTAATTTAAAGCTAAGAATAGTTAGGTGATTTAGGCCAAACCATTAGTTTCACTTTTATATGTAAGTTACCCTCTAAACTGCAATTGCTTTTTGTTTCTTCTTCAGCAAAAGAAGAAATTTACTTTTATGATAGGGAAAGGATTTTATAGTGAAGTTTATCCTGAAACATTAATATGATTTATAAATACTGTCAAGTGAAATGTGCATCTCCAAAGCCCTTGGGAATGCCCAAGTGCATCATCACGTGTAAGAATCAGCTGGCAGAGATTTCAAAAACCTTTCAAGAGCTCTGTTTAGAATTAAGAGACCCTCTTTTCTGGGGACCTTCCAGAACCATTCCCTCGTCACAAAAGTTGCTAATTGATATTCACTACAACTAATTATCTTAAACACCTGTTCACACCATGATCACAGCAAAAACTTTATAATGGCTTAATGTAGAAGACAGATGATAACCAAAAATCAAGAAAAAGTTATCAGGCTCTTATCAGATGAATGTATCTTTCGAATGCTGTTGGCTGATAACTAGAAATGCATAATGGCAGGAATTTTTTTTTTTTTTTTACTATAATATCATTAGAGTTTCCAGTCCCCTAGAACCAAAATACAAAAGACTAATGGAATTTGGGCAAGAGAAAAAAAAAATCATGAGTCCTGTATCTGTGAATGCTTACAGATGGATGACAAAAGGAGCTTGAAAAAGAACATTGTGAAGCATGTTACAGAGTATGTCAGTTGTAAAATAAAGGAGGTCTACACAAGTGATGCTACAGCATGTTCAGGGTTCTGTTAGAAACAACAGAGCATCCACTCACAAGGCCAGGCGCATAGTAAGTACTCCATAACTATTTGTTGAATTTGAATAATTGTACTTAATTTTAGTATCCCTTTTTATAAGAGAAATTGCTAATAATAGAGTAACAAACATCCTTTATGATGTGACTAAAAAAACAAAATAGCTTTTGAGAAACAGTAATGGTTGTGTATCATAAATCACCCCCAAAGTATGAAAGCAATTGGCATTGGTGAAGTTCTGCGAATCCAACTGAAGAAATAATTGGTATTTTCTAAATAGAATTTCTTTAGCAAGCACTGTATCTGATACTGAGGGAGGTGTTGTTGTCAGACCTTGTGAACTATAATGCACAGATCAAGTAAAAAAAGAATTTAGATTCTTTTTGCTTGCATGCATGACACAAAACCAAATGAAAACCCATCAAGACGTTAGAAGAACCGTGTTGCTGGACACAGTGCAGCAATTATTACTGTCCTAGATCTCTTCGATCTAAGATTTAAGGTGAAATATAGGTGGGGTTAGCATTGCTAATGCATTGCACTAGCTTACACGTAATGATTTTTGAAAGGTAATTTGAAATGTTTTGAGCACATATTTTATCAAAAGATGTCTAGTAGGAATGCAATCTGGGGTTCTGCTGAAAATACTCCTTCCAAGACATGGGGATGGTCTTTGGTTTTAGGCTGTGTCCTGTGTGCATCTTGTGCAAAGAAACCAACTGGTGTGGATTGGGAAACACACCCTTTAAATAAGGAAATATGCCTTTCAATGAAAAGAAAGATATATGTGTCTCACTCTAGACAGACCCTAAATTTTTCGCTTTCTGGGGGGAAGAAAGAAGGCAGCCTCAGAGGCATCTGTTGCTGGTAGCAGCAGGAGCAAAGAAAGGAAACATAGGGACACTTCTAAAGGTATCAAATGGTTTTCAAAGAACTTGGGCTTCTTTGAGGCTTCTTTTCTAAGGGCTTTTCCCCCTGAAAATCAGTCTCTTTTATATGTTTCTGAACCTGTGGTTTTTGAAAACATAACTTGCTTAGTTTCCTCTGAAGAGAATGGCTTTCTGTTTTGAAAAGCTGCCTGCTCAGACAATGTGAAAAAGGGAGCCATGAGAGCTTAAATTCAGCAGTTACTATTTCAATGGTAGCACAGATTTATATCATTTTAAAGTATAGAAACACATTTGCCATTCTCGGCTTAATAGATTATACTTAAATATATGTATCTACATCAGAATGATTATGTAGTTGTCATGTTATATAATATATGGTATAATATAATTCTTAAAATAAAGTGATTTTGCATCTCCAAAGGATATGAAACAAAAATGTCTGCTATTTTAAAATTTTCTCAATTTCAAAAAATTCTGTAATTCTCATTTTTACCCTATCCTAACCTTCTTTACAGATGTGCTTAGTCATCTTTATTAGACCCCGCTCATAATTTTGTATCTACCACCTAACAGGTGGTCAATAAATATTTGTGCAAGTGAATGAATGCCCTGAAAACCCAGTTAGTTTTTGTGTGTCCTTGGTCCTTGGCATTATACTCCTTCAGCAGTCTGGCTTTTAATTTTTCTCAAAGTAATATTTAAGCATTGGGTCAGATACGCAGCTGTCTGATCCAGAAAAGTCTGGATGATAATGGAATTCAAATCACATGCAGTTTTGCAGAATCTGTGTAATAGCCAAAAAGAAGGCATTTCCATCTTTTACCTGCTTACTCTTAGGAAAATAATAATAGACATTCAAATTGTGTTGGCAGAGGTCTCACTTCACATGTATATAAGAGCCAGGGGAAAAAAAATTACCTTGGGTCTGAAGATTAACCCATTCAGTTGATTAGTAAATATTTCTTGAGCACCTACTATGCCTAGGCAACTGTGGATGGTTCAAAGAATGAAGAGCCCCTCCTCGCTCAGCTGCAGAGTAAGGTGGGTTTAGACATAGCCTACCTCCGCACAGCAGCCCTTTGTGTCTCACGCAGGAGAAATTGTCACACTGGCAGTAAGGCCCATAAATGTTGCCATAGGGAGACAAGTGGCAGATGCACTGCCCACAGTAGCAATCGCCTCTTCCGCTGCACGAGGGCTGATCCGGGGCCTCCTTGCAGGAATCTGTGCTTGTCTCGTCCTCCCCGCACTCGCAGTGAGGACCCATGTGGCCAGGGTTGCAGGCGCACACGCCACACTGGAAGGAGCCGTTTCCATTGTGGCACTTGGAGCTGTTCACTTCCATTTCTTTCTGGCAGTCACAGGTGCATTCTGGAGTGACGAGTATTTCTAGGGTGTCCCCCAGCCCCACAGGCTTTATGATAATGTGCCTGTTTTTTCTGTCGCAGTTTGGAATACTCACAGACACGTTGAATGAAGCCTGAAAGAGAAAATTCTAATTATCTTCTTCTATCCACCAAAATGGACGGGGGGGGGGAACAAAGCCACATGGGGATCATCTTTGCCAGAAAGCACGTATTAGGAAATCTTTGGCAATGGCTTTGGAAATTCTTGAAAAGGGAAGTGCAGCGTCAGTGCATTAAGGTAACGTCTGACTTGCCTGAATATTTTCTTCAGACCCTCCATTAGCCGTGTACCTACCGTGTCTCCCACCTTCATGTGGGAGCATTTCTTCTGCTGTGGGAAGACGGACCTGTTGTTACAGATAGCTGTGAACGACAGGTTGAGTCCTTCTGTGTCTCCTAATACTTCCAGTTCCACTTCAGACCGGAGTTCCTTTCATTAAGACATAAAGAGTTAGATGGAGTCATCACCAAAAAACACAGCCAAAAAGAGAATCTGAGAATCATATTTACTAAACTACAAATGAATAATATTAAACTGTGTATAAAAGAAATTCACAGTATCATTATTCAAGTGAGCAAGATACACACACAATCGTATTTTATCAAATCCAAGATGCTATTAGTTAGGAAACACATTATTTTATATCAAACTATGATAAAGTACCTCAGAATCGTTCTGCACAACATATGAATCAATGCCACCAGTCTATCATTGCTTTGAAAATTATTTTATCCATTCTGAGGGATCTGGCAAATTCTCCAGCCCTGAGTTGCATTGTTTGACATATAAAAAGCAATTCTTTCACTTGTACTCAGCAACAAAATGTAACAATAGCTTCCTTTTCTTGTAAGTATCATCATTTTTCATGTCCCATAGGAAATGGGTTGTTGCTTTGCAAAGAATACAGAATTGCAATCATTCCTCAAACAATGAATATTTGCTTCCTTAATATCAATTTTATACCCTGAAACTCTGTTTCGGTACATTTCTGCATATATAATAACTTTTCATTTTAATATCAAATCATAGTGTATAATTTTAAAGATGTTTTTAAATGGCAATTATTCTCAATATTTATAGTACAAAGAGAGCACTTCACAAATTGAATAACAATATATACAGTTATGGCCAATTGCACTCATGTGCAGGAAATGAAAACCATAGTGTAACTTCTGCCCAGCTGACAACATTTGTAGGACACAAACTATACTAATAAAAGGATAATATGCTAATTAGACCAGGTCGACTGAACATCATCCAGATGTCCCACTTCCTTCCAGACAAAGCCACAGTGGCAGAAGTGGTTAGGGGGTTATCAGGCTGGCAGGGGAGTGGTTAGGCAGTGAGTAGGTAAGCAGGGCAGTGATCAGGCCAGCAGGCAGAGGCTTGTTAGGGGCAATCAGGCAGGCAGGGATGTGAGCGGTTAGGAGCCAGCCATTCTGGATTATGAGAGAGATGTCTGACTGCCAGTTTAGGGATTGGGCCTAAACTGGCAGTCAAACTTCCCCCAATGGGTCCCAGATTGGAGAGGGTGCAGGATGGGCTGAGGGACACCCTACCCCCTCCCCATGCATGAATTTTGTACACTGGGCCGCTAGTCCTATATAAAAATAGAGTAATATGCAAATAGACCAAATGGAAAAACAACTGCACAACTAATCAAAGCATAATATTCCTATATAATAAAAGGGTACTATGCAAATAGAGCGAACAGCAGAATAACCAAACAACCAGAGTGTAATATGCTAATGATATGCTAAAGCTGCTCAACTGCTCCCTATGATGTGCATTGACCACCAGGAGGCAGACAGTCACCTGGTTGACCAGTTGTTATGATATGTACTGACCACCAAGGAGCAGATGCTCCAACTGGTAGGTTAGCTTGCTGCTGGAGTCTGGCTGATAGGGACTGAGTGAGATGGGTCGGACATGTCCTGGAGCCCTCCTGCTGTCCCTCCCCTGCCCAATCATGCATCCATGGGGTCCCTCAGCCTGGCCTGTGCCCTCTTGCAATCCGGGACCCCTTGGGGGATGTTGGAGAGCTGGTTTCAGCCTGATCCCACAGGCCACTCCCCTTGGGAGGGCGCCAGATGCAGGGCTCATGGCTGGTGAGCATTGCTGCAGCTGCATGAGCCTCTTCCTATCAGGACTAATTGGGTGTGAGCCCGTAGCAGGTACAGTGGGGCCAAGATGAGTGGGAATGGCAGGTAGGAGCTGCAGATGGTGTTGGACAGTGATTTTCAGCCCAATCTCTGCAGGCCACCCACAGGACCCTACCTATGCACGAATTCATACACAGAGCCTCTAGTTAATTATAAAATGCATCCCAATTTTAGAGATATTAATACGTGGGAGAAACTGTGCCTTGAAACAACATTGGAATTTATCTAGTCCTATTTTACATTTGGTGTAGTGTCAGGGTGGGGGAATGAGTCTAACTACAGATTTCTTCCCTCAAGATGATTATCATCTTACTAAAAACAACAAGATGGAACAAAGTGAAACAGGTAACATACAATGTCAGTCATTGTGCATTAACTGAAAAAAATTGTATAATATAGATGAGAGTTTGGGGCAGTTCAGAAAAGAGGGTGATCAGTAAAGGTTGAAGTATTAGAAGACTAATCCTTGATAATGGTGTCTCAGCCTAGGGGATCAGAAAAAAGAAAGCTCAGTCCTGGTTGGGTTGCTCAGTTGGTTGGAGTCTTGTCCTGTACACCAAGATATTGCAGGTTTGGGGTGAGGATGGGATGCAACCGATTGATGTTTCTCTCTCACATCAATGCTTCTCTCTCTCTCTCTCTCTCTCTCTCTCTCTCTCTCTCTCTCTCTCTCTCTCTCTCTCTCTCTTTTCTCTTAAAAAAATCAATTTAAAAATATATCCTTAGGTGAGGATAAAGAATAAGAAAAGCAAATCAAAGAAAAAGCTCAAAGCCAGGAATGGGACAGAATGAAGACAAGGGTGCTCAGGCCAACTCAACACTCCAACTGTTCTGAGAGACACTGGTCAACAAAGAGCCCTGCAGTTTGGAGAGATGAGTTTAGTCCCATGGGAAGCATTACTGGCAGCTGTTAAGCAAGGGCACGATCTACAGTAAAGATAGCTGCAAGGGAGTTGCCCGGAAGGCTTGTGCATAACAGGCCAGTGGAGGGGATTGGAACCCTTGAGTCTAGAAAGTTGGAATGCTATTGCATTCATCCTGGCCTGAGACATGAGGGTTAGGAACTGGGCTGGTTGGTATTGTGATGACATATCTTTAAGAGAGGAAGATTAGATATGAAGCATATAGATTATACTAGAGTGGGAGATAAAGGAAAGCTTTTTCAGGAGGAAAAGTGTCAAAAAAGGCAGAGTGAGACCTGTTGGTTTGGGGAAAGTTTGTGTTATTATTCAGACTTTATCTGTTCCTCTTTCTCTTACAAAATAAAAGTTTGTTGACATTGCTCTTAGTAATATTCTTTTGGATATATCTCCTTGTGCAAAGGAAACAAAAGGAAAAATAAAGAAATAGGACTACAACAAACTAAAAAGTGCATGGCAACAAAACAAAAGACAGCCTTCCAAATGAGAGAAGACAGCTTTCCAAATGAAAAAAGATATTTTCCAATGATACAACTGATAAAGAGTTAATATCCAAAGTATATAAAAAACTTATACAATTTAATACCTCCACCTCCCCCCCCCCTCCAAAAAACAAACAAACCCACAAAAACAACTAACCACCTCCAAACAATTCAATTAAAAAATGAGCAGAGTACCCGAATAGATACTTCTCTAAAGAGGACACACAGAGGGTCAATAGACATATAAAAAATTCTCAACATCACTAATATTTATAGAAATTCAAATTAAAATACCTATGTGGTAGCACCTAACACTTGTCAGAATGGTTATTACCAATAAGTCAACAAACAAGTGTTGTGGAAAAAGGATGTGGAAAAAAGGGAACCCTTGTGCATTGTTGATGGGATTGCAAATTGGTGCAGCCACTATGGAAATCAGTATAGAGGTTCCTCAAATAATTAAAAACAGAACTACCGGTACCTCTAACTCAGAAAATCCACTTCTGAGTATTTATCTGAAGAAATTGAAAACACTAATTCATTGCAGCAATATTTACAATAGCCAAGATATGGAAGCACTAAGTGTCTGTCAATACATGAATGGATAAAGAAGAAATGGTGCATATATACAATGAACTATTACTTGAAAGAATGAAATCTTACCACTTGCAACTACATGGATGGTCTTAGAGAGTATTATACTCAGTGAAATAAGTCAGACAGAGAAAGACAAATACCATATGATTTCACTTACATGTGGAATCTAAAACAGATAAAATAAATGAACAAGCAAAACAGAAGGAGACTCATAGATACAGAGAACTCACTGATGGTCCCCAGATGGAAGGAGAGTGTGGGGTTTGGTGAAAAAGTTGAAGGGATCAAGCAGTACAAACTGGCAGATACAAAATAGTCATGATAATGTAAAGTGCAGCATTGGAAATACAATCATTAATATTGCAATAACTATGTATGTTTTCAGGTGGGTAGGGTAGTAGACTTATTGGGGGAATTACTCATAAATTACATAAATGTCTAACCATTATGCTATACACCTGGAATTAATATAATATTGATTTGTCAACTGTAGTTGAAAAAACATTTTTAATTTTAAAAGTCTGCATTTGGGAGACAAATACCAATTATTAAAAATAAAACAATATATAATAAATAAATTATAAAATATTTTGAAGTAAATAATATTTCTGTTTATCTAAAAGGATTTGAATTCTTATACCCACTTCATTGCTCAGATTTCAAAATTGTATTCAGCTTCAAATTTTCCTCAAGTACAATTTTGCCACCTGCATAGTAATATTACCTTGTCTTCCTCCAAATTCTAAGTTGCTGACTATAAATTCTAAGTTACTTCTCTTCCCAGCCTTGTTATTTTCCTCAAATTGTCACTCCTTCAGTAGACATAGGCTAACTTTTCAGAATATGCACAGATATTGAAGTGTCATTTCTCAGTCCTAGAGATTATTTCCATCATGTCTTAAGATTTTAAATTCTACCAAATTAGCATTAAAATATACTCTTTAAATCTGTTTAATTTCAACTAGTCATAGTTTATGTTTATTCATTCAGAAAATATTTATGGAGTGTCCACTATGTACCAAACAGTGATTCAGGTGCTTGGAAAACAAAGCCCACTAAAATAGTTTCTATCCCAAGATGGGAAGACAGAAAAAAAAAAAAGCCATAATAAATAAGAAAATTATATAGCACTCTAAAACTTGGTAAATGCTATGCAAAAAAAGTCAGAATGGGATAATGAAGAATAAAACAGCACGTGTAGGGTTGTAGGCTGCAATTTTGAAAAAGTGGTCGGGATTTGCCAAGAATTTGAAAGAAGTGGGGAGGAA